TGGATCTAGCTGTCGAACCCAACACATTTTCAAAAAATACCAAAAAAAAAGTTGGGTTAGGCTTTGATCTAGTTATAATATAAAAATAATAATAATAATAACAACAATAATAATAATTATTTTTTTCCTTAAAAATAAATCAATGTTTTTTTTTCAAATTTTTAATTATTTAATTAATAATATTAATTATAATAAAAATAATAAAATTTATGATACAAATAACAATATTTTTTATATTAAAACTTTTAATTATAATATAAATAATAATATTTAGAAACTTAAGATCTTGATGTCGGATCCAATAAAAATAGATCCTGACACAGGACTCGATAGTATTGGATCTTGACGTGGGATTCATCTCTTAGATCTTGCTGCAAAATCTATTAGCCTTAGCCTCGGGGCTTGACACGAGCCACGGCTAATCGATCCTAGGTCTTGATGCTAAACACAACAAAATTAGATTCTGATCCAAGGCTAGTGGGAGCTGTGTTTGGACCACCCAAAAAAATATGATATAAATATAGAACAAATAATAATATTTTTATTATTAATACTTTTAATTATCATGAAAATATTTATATTTGTAACACAAATAATTATATTTTTGAGATGAATACTTTGAATTATAAGAAAATAAATAGTAATTATAATACAAATAATTATATTTTTATATGAATACTTTGAATTATATTAAAAATAATAATAATTAGAACACAAATTATAATAATATTTATATGAATACTTTTAATTATAATAAAAATAATTATATTTATAACACAAATATAATTATATTTTTATAGAAATACTTTGAATTATAATAAAAATAATAAAATTTGGAACATAAATTATAATTTTTTTATATGACTACTTTCAATTAGAATAAAAATAATAATATTTAGAACACAAATAATTATAGTTTTGAGATGAATATTTTGAATTATAAGAAAAATAATAATATTTACAACGCAAATATATTTTTGAGATGAATACTTTGAACAACAACAACAACAACAATAATTGTTTTTTTCTTTAAAATCAAATCTATTTCTTTTTTAAATTTATTAATAATATTTATTATAATAAAAATAATAATATTTTTGATAAATATACCAAGTAAAAAAAACACTAATTTTTCTTCCAAAAAATCTCTTCATAAATTACAAATTTATCATCATTATCGTACCCGTTATCCAATAAAAAGAATTAGAAAAAAAAATTATTGAATTTCTAAATTGAATGAGAGTTTCTTTTATATGTATAAAGTATAATATAATATTATACTAGCTGGTAAATAATTAAAAAGCTAACCAATGCCATTTGCGCCAATATTAATTTCTAATTGGACCATGTGTATGGCAAAGGAAATACATTGATCGAAAGTTTTACACCTAACAGCCCTGATCGAAAGCTTTACACCTAACAGCCCGCTTGGCCAAACGTGCTTAGACAAAGGAGAGAGAAAAAAAAGGGCAGGGAAAAATCAAAATTAATCATGCTTAGAATAGAAACGAGACAAATTTAGAATTTACTATTTTAAGTACAGTTTCAATTAAATGATCGATGGTGGAAAGAAAAATGGAAAGAAGAAAAAGGAACACAAAGTGGAAAGAATAAAAAAAAAGAGAGAGGAAAACAAGAGAACGAAGGGCAAGGTGTGGCAAATAAAATTAGAGGCTCCATGGTGTAAGTCGCTTTTGGTTTAATTATAAATATAAGATTCAAAATTTTAATGAAGATGGCATTGAAACACATCTGATTGAATATAACCCCATTTGTTTTTTGTGATCAAGCCCAAGGTGATGAACACCATGCATGTCCTAATCTGCAGAAAACTGTTGACGCTGGAAATGGATCAGGAGGCGGCTGCCTCGCTTGGGATGTGCTTGACAAGCTCCGTGCAGACACCTTTGGCTCACTGCACTTGAAACCTGATGGAATTTTCTCCAACCACATTCCTAATCCTGAGGCCAACACTGCCATGGCTCTAACTAGAGCTTCTGTGCTAGAAAATTCAGCCGATCTTGGAATTGTTTCTGACACTGATGTAGACCGAAGTGGTGTAGTTGACAAGCAAGGAGCCGATTATTTCCGGGATGATGGTAAGCCCTGTACTCAGGAATTAAAATCATCACAAATATTTGATGAGTCGTAGTATTTTGAGTGTTCCACAGTAGTAATGGATATAGTTTTTTTCTGTTCCACTACTCACCTTCTAGTGCAATCTTTAAACGTGGGTATAGAAGCATAAGTGGTGTCACGGGATGCGAGTCAGCATGACATAGTCTAGTGATAATGGAGACTCCTATCATGTATCCTGTATTTATATTATATTATGTGTTGGAAAAAATTTTAGATTTAATTATAAAATTATAATTAATGTTTAGAGTCATTATTTAGTATTATAGTCATTAAAAACCTATAATTTATGAGAATCTGTATAAGAGACTGATTATGTAAGAAAAAGACGCATCATTTTTAGTGTACCCTATCTAAAGTAAATTGTAATGTTGTTTGATTGTTTTTTTTTGAGTCAGGTATCTGTTGGTCTTTTTAAAAGCTCAAGGCTGATTTATCTTTGTGAGAGAGTCTCTACCTTATTGGGTAAAATTCTAACTGTTCTAAAATTTAAATTTTAGCATCGTATTTATTTATATCTTGTATCTTTAATACATGAGGGTGTACTTTATCATATAATTTTACACCCCACAAATATTAAAGTCTACATCTGGATTCTAAAAAAAAAAAAATTGGAAAATAATTTTTGACATGTTCGTCAAATCCTAATGGATGATAAAAAAACTTGTTACAATATCCATTTTTGAATTTTTTTTAAAACATGAAAAGATGCAATTTTTGTTTTTTTATGAACAATATGCTTAGAGAAATTTCAGGATTCGGCCGCATGCAATATTTTTTTTTTAAATGAAAATTGATTTAAAAGTTTTTTTAAGATTTTTTTTGAAAATGTTTTGAATTTTTTAATAATTTCGGAGGAAACTGAGACTTTTAATACCGGATTTGTATTTTATAATGTAAATACACAACCCGATATTATGCAAAATTGGTAGAAAAATATGTGAGAAAATCACAATTTTTTAAAATAATTTTTTTAAAAAAATTAGATTTTAAAAAAAGAGATGGCATAGTCCACTGCATGAACAATGGAACTTTCATGGGGAAAACGAAGAACCAAGGGAAGGGTAGCAGACCACCTGGCGTGGAAGTGATGGTTGGTTGGTGAGGGAGGACGACCTGAAGATGACGATGGAAATGAAGGTGGAGTTGGCTGGAGCAACTGTAGCTAGAAGAGGAAGAAAGAAGAAGAAAAAACGCCTATAGAAAGGGCTGCAGAGAGGAAAGAGAAACCAACAGTGGCTCTTAGTGGTTGGCTGGTGGTTGCGTTGGCTTCTTGTGGTGGAGCTAGTGGTGGAAAGACCGGTGGTGGTGGTGGCGGCTAAAGGCTATGGTGGAAAAAGAAAGAAAAAAGAAAATTTGCAGAAGTCAACATAAAAACTAATTTTTTGGCTGACTTTGGACCTGATTTTTTTCTCTCTCAGGCATGAAAACCACCTCTATTTATAGGAGGTGGAAGAAGGTAATCTTATCTATACTGGAGAAAAAATTCAGCTCTTGATTCAATTAGGAAGGATTTCAACCATTAGCTCAAAGTAGGTATCATGAATTGCAAAATCTACAGACAAAAGCTGACTAAGTTAACTTTTTTAGGCTGTCACCAGAGACAATATATTGTCATTTACCTAAACTGATTCCATGAGATTATAAATAAAGTGCAGAGGATCATTTTCCTATAAGATTTGTCAAATTTAATGGATATTAGGTACATTAAATACACTTGTAAAGTAGGTAACCAGATCATCTTTTTTTTTTAAAAAAAAAAAGGATAATGAATAGTGCCGATTCCTTTTTTGCCAAAGTTTATTTAAATCCTTCCTCTTTCAACTGCTTTCAATTGAACCCTAATTAACCTTAAACTTTTTTTTATTTAATGTAATTAAGCCCCTAATTTCAATCAATTAACTTGGAAAAAATTAAATTTGGTCTCTCAAAATTCTAATCTTCTCAATTAAGCCAAAATTAGGTTTCCAAACTTAATTTTTCACCAATTAAGCCCAAAATAAAATTAATTTGACTGTCCTTGAACTTAATTAAATTCTTCAATTGGACCCAAATTAATTCTTAAACATAATTAAAATTTAATTTGGCCCATGATTAAATCAAATTGACTTATTAAAAATTTAATTATGTCATAGGACTTAATTTTTAAACAAATTTATTCAATAATAATTCAATTTGACCTTGAATTTGTCTTCTTCTCCATTTTCGGGTCCATTTTCGGGTATAATGGGGTACAATTAGGCCTTGAATTTTCTAAAAAAAATTACATCTTGATTCTTTTTATTTGTAGTCTTTTTTAATCTGTTTTTTTATATTATTATCAATCTTTATTTTATTTTTTATTTTTATTTTTTAAAAAATTAATTTTTAAAAAATTATTCAGAATTAAGTTACGACAAGTGAAGATAAAAATCACCATTGAAATGATACGCATGGAATTAGATGGATGAGTTGAAGGAATTGACAACCTCATCAGAGATCTTGCAGGACCATTAGAATCTGAATGAGTGAACATCCATCGTTGCTTTCGTATAATATTAAAAATAATTTTTAAAAAGTAATAAAATATATTATTTTAATATATTTTTAAATAAAAAATACTTTAAAAAATAATTACAACATTTATATTTTTAAAAATAATTATTAAAACAGGGATTTGGCCCTGTGGGTTTGATTTCCTCTTTTAATCGTTGAAATCGCAAGAATAAAGATCTTGATTACGAATCACAATGAGAGTTTTGTGAATATTTGGAAAATCAGGATGGTGCCTGAGTCTTGAGGTATTAAGGCCTGTCTAACATGTTTGGAATATCGATTTTCCAGCTAGGATCTTGAAAAGAATAAAAACTGATAGGAGGAGAGACTTTTAACATCTTGAATCGCACACATCAAAGCATACATTAACTTCACACAAAGCCCTTGCACATCATGTCACACAGCTAGGCCCGCCCGCCCGGCAGGCTACTGAAACCTATAAATAAGAAGCCCCGACCTTTAAGTTTCAGTGGACCCCACACAAGTTTATTGATAAATTACAGGAGAACAGGCGCCTGTCCCCAGCACACCGCTTCTTATTATTCATCCACGCCGGTAGTCATTTTCAATTCAAGACAGCAGCAGCAGCAGCATGCACGCTTATGATACTAACCGATCATTCATGCCTGTGCTGTTGGTAGCTGGGTAAGGTGATGATCCTCAATGTCTTTGCTGAAATGGATGCAAAACTCAAGCAACGTTTGGGGATCTGGAACGTTCTCGTTTAGCTTCTCATATTCCAAAGTAAAGTGAGCCAAGCAGCTGCCCTCTCCCTTGGGAGTAGCTTGAACGATGACTATGAAATTCTTGTACTCCGTGGTGATGTCTCCTTCAATCACTTTGTAGGTGGTTGACAGCTTCTCATCGTCTATAGCTTCAATAACATCCTTGGCAGTCTTAGCAACCCCATCTATTAATTTTTTTTGAATAAAAATCAAATTAAATGTCAGTCATGAATCACTGCCTTGATATGTCATGCTACTCTTGATAATAATTTGTTTCTGAAAATGTATATGAGGTTAACCTTTCATCAACCAGAAAGTCATAAAATTTCTCCAACAATGGATTTACCCTAGATGAAGACAGAAATCGGTTCTCTTCTCATAAAGCATGTACAACTACAGATCATAGCTGATCTAGAATGATCAAATCGAACACCTTATTAGGTGAGCTAGCGTATACAAAAATAACCCAAGTCACTTCCTCATGCTATAAGCCATCTAAGAAATAAACAAAATTGTAGGCTAAGTATGATGTAAACTTATGGTTAGTGTGTGTGTGTGTGGGTGTATGATCAAAACCATGAAGACACACACACACCCACACCCACACTCACGATTAAGGAGCATGAGCAGTGCGATCCTCGATATGGTTTTTTGGTCAGGGATGATCTATCTATCTATCTATCTATCTATCTATATATATATATATATGACGACACAGCCTTACCATGTACATAACTCCAGCTGATTACAGTGCCCGGCTTCCCCCATTCACCTTCATGTAGATCAACATTCTTTATCTTGGCAGGGCTCATATTGGGAATGTGGTGTGGTCTGCAGCTGAAGATATCATGGAATGTTTCAGCAGAAACTTTGATCTCTACTTCAGCCTCCATCTTACCAAAGAGTGTCATTTTGTTGCGCAGGTAAGCAAACTATAAACAGTGTAAGCTTTGAGATAACAAAATCAATTATAGCAGTTGTAGGGAAAATGCTTTGGGATCTTATCCTTATAAAGACGTGGGATAATTATACACCTACACTGGTAAATGATGAGATCAATTATTGACCTACATTATTTAAGGTTTTCTATATTTAATTCTATCTAGCTGGTTTTCTTGCAGGTTTGTCTCCCCTGGCTCCCTTTTTTATATTTTATGTATCATTTAATTATGCATTTATGCGTAAATACATAGATGATTCCCTTACTCTGCTGACTATTTTTAAAATTTGGTCATTTTGTTATAATAAAATTCACTCCTCAATCCTATAAGATTTTTAAGGGCATTTTTAACTGAAAATCTATATACATCGATAATGGTGTTCTAAGAAATGTCCGCCGTCTAATTCTTGTCAGAAAGGTATAACAAACCTGAGAATTAAAGCGTGGAACTGGAAAGTTTCATTGAATGAAAAAAAGATTGAATTACATAGTAATTGGATCTAAATAAAATAAAATAAAAGGTTTTTGGTTTATTCAAGGTAGCTCGGCCAATAAGAATTAAACTATTTTAATAAAAAAAAGTTTAATGAATCCATCATAATATTGCTATCTTATTCAATTTATAATAATAACTACGTAATTAGAATATTGCTATCCCATGTCCATTACAAAAGATATACACTGCTCCTGCAAATCTTTCTTAGTAACATGATCTTCGTCGAAGTAAAAATCCACTGCAATGTGCTTGTCCTGACAAGAATGCAGCCCCCAACACTACATTACCGATGGCAAGGTATTTGAATTTTTTTAAATCAAGGATTTCTACCCTAGAAAAAGTATTCAATTACTGACAACTTGATTTCCTTGGTAAAGATTGTGAGTATTTTGCGGTGTGGTATTTTTTATTTTTTTAATATATTTAATTTTAAAAATATCTAATTCAAATTTTTTATTGATTTTGATATGTTTATGTTAAAAATATAAAATATAAAAGAATATTATTTTGATGTGTTTTATTAAAGCTACTTGTGAATTTTATCAATTTTGGCATCTTGAATTTGAAAAAAAAAATATAAAGTCATGAATCCAAAATCTTGGTAAGTTATAGATCATGATTCATGGTTTTTTTAGACATAAAAAATAGTACAGCATATATCACATGAAATTGAAGTTGAGGGAGAGGTCATTTGGGAGGAACAAGTAGGGTTTATCTACATTATTTTTTTTTATTTTTTTTTTTGAAATTTCTTGATGAGCCATGCTGATGCGGGCTTATGGGCCCATCCATGCAGCTGGAAGAGAACAGGGAAAACGATTGAGAGTCTTAAATAATGAAAAGGAGCGGGAAATAATTTATTGCGAAGTTACATGAACAGGTATGGCATTTAAGTTAGAGGGGATAAGATTGTCCACAAAACAAATGATATTTTAAATAACTATTAATAATCTCCGTATCTGATGAGAGAGATTTAAGGGCATAAAAAATCGTACATTGATGATGGTATCAAACTTCATATGTTAGATAATATTGCTACGTGCGCGCGCATACACACGTAGGTGTATAGGAACACAATAATGAACTCGTGTACAGTATAATAAAATTTCAATATCTATTTTTTATGTGGTTATTTTTTAATATATTTTTATATTAATACATTAAAATGATGTAAAATATCAAAAAACATTAATATTTTTTAAAATATTTTTAAAATATAAAAACAACCATGCTTTAATAAAAAAATTCAACCCAATCATGATTGAAAAAAATTATCATCAATTTATTTTCTCTTTATAATATAAAAAATTAATAAAAAAATTTTAAAATTTAAAATATTTTACAAAAAAAAAACTAAAAAAAAATATTTATTTATTTTGAACAAGCTTAAAAATTAAAACCACGTAATTGAAACTTTTATAACTCACTATTCACCCTCCTTCACCAAACCGAACACACAATTGATCATTTTTTCATCCACTCCTCGTATGTCCATCACAACTTGAATAAGATTCGGCTTAAGATGAATATCCTAAGCAAAACAATAAATAAATATTTTTTTTATTTTATTTCATATATATATATATATATATGATAATAATCTTTATTTTATATTTGTAATTTTTGTTAAGTAAAAATAATTTTGATTTCATAAAATATAATTGACGAATATATTTTACCTCTTATTGAAGTTTTTTTTGTTAAGTTATGGCCTTGAACCATTACTCAAGTTGCCATTATGTTTTGACCGACTTTGACTAGAAACACCCCCATCCAATTCTCGACGAGCTCCCACACGTGCAAGTAGCCAACCAAACATTCAGAGTACTCTCGTGTAAGGTAGTTGTGCTGTCCTTCCATGTAATCCAGACTATAATTATATATTTATATCTGACTACTAATTGTTACAATCAGACCCCTCTTGTAATCTGATTTGAGGTTAAGCCGTTGAAAATCGAAAGTTTTATTTCAATTCTTGTTAAATTTTGAATTTTTATGATATCTAATCATGTAAAATTATATTTGGGCATGGATTAAATTAAAAAGACATAAACCTTAATGTAAAAAAGTTACTTTTTTGTTAATATATTTTATATTTACGCTTTCTATTCTTGTTAAGAGTGGATTTGAAGGGTAAAAGATAGCATGATATAAAATTTAACATGGATTAATTTTCTAACATGAATTTTAATTTAAATCATATTTTGTTTGAAGGATTCTACGGAATTTGTTGACCTGGTCAAGATTAATTAAGCACGCCCATTTAATTTATAGACGAGTCAAGATAGGTTTTTAGGATAGGTTTATATACCTATGCTGCACATGATAAAAAAAATAATAACAACTATATATGTTTCTTTCATTTTATATATTTTTTGTCTATTTTTTTCTTACTCTATGGATTCGATTTGATCTTTGCGTATATCTTGAAGGGATTTGACTTGAAATAATTGTAAATAGGGAATAAATTGAATATGAGTCCAATTTTTTTAACATTTTATTCTTGAAAATTGTCGAAACCAGGTTTGAAATGATATTAAAGGTCATAATTTACAAGAATAAACTAAATTATTTTTCACATAAATTTAGATGAAATAGATAAGTGTTTTTTCAAGGATATATTTAGGCTGTAACCAATTTTCTTACTTGATTTTTAATGACCGGTGTTGATTTTTTTTTTCCCTAAATTTTTACCTAAAAGGAGTATATATAATGATATAATATTAGTTTATTTTTAATTGCTCCAGCACGATCAAAACTATATTTTTAAAACATAAATTTTTTTTATCAAGAATACAAGATTATGTTGTGATGCCATAAATTTAGATAAACAGATAAATTTTTAAATTTTTTATCTTGTATTTTTATTAATATTATTTTCATAACTATTACTGGTAACATTATTATTATCATGATTATTAATATCATAATTACTATTATCATCATAATAAATTATTATTATTATTATTATTATAACCACCATCTCTATCATCATCATCATCATAAATATTATTAGTATAATCATCATCATTATCATTATTATCATTATTGTTTTCATAATAAACTATTAATATTGTCACTATTATTAACATTATCATCATTATTAGTATTATTATTAATAATATTGTTTATGTCATTATTTTTATTATTATTACTACTACTATTACTATTACAACCACTACAATTATTATTGTTAATATTGTTAATATTATTATTATTATTATTATAAAAAATTATAAACTTGTTTTGTAAAATAAAATTATAAATTATAAAAACTCTAACAAAAAAACAAATAAAAAATAAAAAAAAAATCAAACTGAAATAAATATTATTGCCACTCAAAAACTTATTAAAAGTCAACAAAACCCATGATAATAGTTATAAATTTTATGACTCTAAGTAAAAGAGGATTTTTATTGTATAAAAAAATAAAAAAGATATATACATCCTTAAATAATTTTGTATTAATTAATGAGCAGTATAAAAGATCAACAAACCTAGCTTCAAGGCTTATGTTTCTTACTCAAGAGTAGAAGAGTAATTTCACAGTAATAATTCATTGTAAACTGTATGTTTAGCTAAAGCGAAACCCCTGTAGTTTTTTGAACTCAAACTGCAATTGTTGATTTGCTGCAACCGTACCTACGCCATCAGTCTCCACTCTCCCAGTTACCATGATGTGCATTAACTGCGTGTATATGTTAATTACCTGGTGGGCTTTGCTCTTCCATAGGTTGTAGACCTTTTAGCAGCAGGAGTTAATTTTGAGTTCTACGACTTTCTCCAGCTTACCTTACAGAGCCATGATTCTGCAATATATCAATATCTTACAAGAAGACAATATTTGAGTAAAGCAATTTGGTCGACTTGCCTCTTTGTGTACTAGCGACTCAGTTTCTGCTTACAGCTGGCTTGCATGCCTTCTGTAACTGTTTGATTTGTGAATTAACAATGGAGTTGGTAGATTACAAGACATATATATATATATACATACATGCATGTTGCGTGTGTGTCATTTTCATTGATTTTGTGTGGGTAATGCACATAAACGATTGTTTAACTTACCATTAAATAATTGAAAAGAAAATTGAGCATTGGAAAGTAGTTGGGATTAATATTTAATATTAGAGCATTCGTTAGCTTTTCTCAGAGAATTCATCTCCAATAATCTCCACACAGACATCTCCAGGAAAAAAAAAAAAACATGAAAAATCCATGCAATCCCTGCCAAATAGAATTTTTTAAAGAAAAATCTTCAAACTTATCATAATCGATACAGTGCAGCCCGTGCAAAAAATGTAAGGCACGAGTAGTCGAGCAGGTGACAGACACTATAATGTCACTATCACTAGGATTTGCCAAATCCAAGATATATTGTGATAGATCATATAGAAAACAAAAATCAAATAATAAGTGGCCAATATATGTAACTGTGATGGTCCGTATGGAGAGTGACGCTGACAGTGGCGATATAACTAATTTCCCACCATTTAAAGTTTTATTTTATTTTTTTGTTTTTTCCGGCAGTTATAATTTCTTTTGTTGTTTAAAGATCCTACAATTGGAGGCTTAAAGATTAGTTTTTCGCATGGATGAGAAAATTTGATGATGAATTTAGTGCGATGAAAGGTATTATTAATAACTGGTAGATGGGACAGTAAGTTAAATTAGAAAAAAAAGAAAAAAAAACACAGGTTAATTTCATGAAATAATTAATAAATGTCCTTTACGATCACTTAAAAATGATTTGCTATGAAGTGAATTATGCTACCCGCTTCTTTAAGGTAAAAAGCTAATCTTATTATCATAATTGTACTAAATCCTTAATTATTGCCGTAACTACGAACAAGTAATCAAATTAATGATGTATTTTGAGTGTAATACAAAGCTTTCCAGTGACATTTTCAGCCGAATCATTCAGATCTCGTCTTCTTTTTCATCGAAATACGATTGCGTTCTTATATATTTAGCTGCAAAAACAAGAGAGAGTCAAACTACAGGCCACGTTGGGACCTGTTTAACCACGCAGCAAGACTCTAGGGATTGTTGTGTTGGCTTCAAGACATACGGACTAATGTAAAAAAAAAAAAACATTAAATTCCAAGAGATTAAAAATAATTTCTTAACTCTGAAATTCAAAGACCATTTAACGATCTCTCGGAAATATATCATGGTTATATACTTGCTATTCCTCCATTTACTTTGATCTTCAGAATTAGCTGCTTCGTTGATTGGTTCTGTTTTGCAGTCAAGAAGAAAACAGCACTCCAGTTTACCTGAACTTCGCATTCACAAAAAAAAAAAAAAAAAAGCGCAAACGTTAAAAATGTTGAGTTTTCAGAAACAATTATTTTGTCCTCAAATAATTTTAGGTATTAATTTATCTCCAAATAATTTTGACTTTTCAATTGAGACCTACCATATTTTTTTTTAATAGAAAACGTTGAGTTTTCAGAAACAATTATTTGATTTTTCAATTGAGACCTACTAGATTTTTTTTTAATAGAAAACGTTGAGTTTTCAGAAGCAACGTCATTTCTTGAAAAGAAAAAAAAAAGGGTACAATCGGGATAGAACCCTTCAAAATGTGCAATTTTTTTTTTTGTCGAGATGAGAAAAGGTTCCCTAGATTAAACATGATTTGTATTCATAATCTTTGTTTAACTAGTTAATTATAAATTTATTAGATTATGATAGCAAGCTGATACAATCTATTTGTAAATAGACGGGTCAACGTATGCAAAATTCAAGAGGATTGAGTATCAATAAATAGAAGCTTGGGAGTTCAACTACTGGCTTGTTTTAGTCTTCAACCATTACAGGTTCAGCAACTTGTGTATTTTAATTACTAGGCCTAGACTTTGTAATTATGAGGCCTCCATTCTTTTCTAAGACCTTCTTATCTTAATGAAGGGACGTCAAATAATTTAGGTGAGGTAGTGTGAGATTTTTTCAAGGGGCAAATGAAGATTCCGACTTGTGATTGACAAGGTGAAAGAATTGCCTAAATTAATTCATTTTTGTTTGCAAGCAAAAATAAACTCTGACATGCCACAAGAAATCTTGGATAAGTAATACACTGAGTAATGAAGCCAACCAAAAAGTGTATTAACAGGCAAAAAAATATATATTTAATGACTTTTATTTCACACATGAAATTAGGTTAAGAAATACTTGTTAATGCTTTGCCAGCAAAAGCAAGATATATTCCACATGGTAAGACCGCTTAAAAAATCTGATTCTAAGAAAATTACCAAATTAAAATTAATTTAAAAATTTATTATATGGAGGATATTCAAAACTTGTATATCTTTCAAATATAAAAAGAATAGCCTCAGGTTAGAGTCGTTTGAAGCTCATAAAATCATTTGGTGTCTACTCTCTATAAAAACATGAAATCCTTTATTGCTAAACCAAGTGTTTTTAGTATTTAAAAACATAAGTTTAAGGAAGGGATTGTTGAGATAAGACATATTTTCAATATTTGTGTTTAGAATTCTTGTTTAACTAGTTAATTCAAATTCTTATTATATTATAATAATTAGATCTCTCTTTGAATATAAAAACCAATACCTACAAAACTTAAAAGGTTTGAATATCAATAAATAAAAGAAAACAAGGTTCACATACTTTTGTTTTAAAGTATTGCACTTGAATCATTTCCTTATTTTTGCTTTAAATTATTTTTTAAATATTTTTTTATTTCAATGTATTACTGTTAAAAATAAAATTTTAAAATAAAAAAATGTTATTTTAATATTTTTGCAAATAAAAAAAAAATTAAAATAACTCTACCTCACTCCAGGCACCTGCATTTTAGTTTACCAACATCTTCGAGGCTTGCCCAAAAACTTCAGCTTGACTACTGAGCCTTAAAGAGCGATTGGACATGCATGTGGCACGGCAAGTTTATCTTCTACAGAGATTTCACTCTAATAACAGGAGTTTCTTTTCATAGAGAGGACAGAAAAAAAGGAGTTTCCCTTATTCTAGCAAGAACACAACATAGAAGAAATGCTTAAATTACGAAATGAGAGATAACAAGAAAGCAAGTTCTATGTAGTTGTTTTTTCTGTTTTCCATTCCTTGTATAAATATGTATTTTATATGCACATATATACATGTCAGAGTCTTGCTTCGGGGGTCACCAGCTCAGGCCTCCGGCAGCTATTCAAAATTAGGACTTCGGTGCTATACAACTATATAAGATGATATAAAATTTGTGGGGAAAGGGATGATAAGGGTACTAAAGTGCCTTACTTTTTTAATATTTTAGGAACATCTTTTTTGGAAATGACCCTAACCGGTGAGGTAGAGAAATCATTTTGCTTATCCGAAACCAGGAGGTGATCCACCTTCTCACTTCTCAATTCATCTTTGCCAGATACACAAGAAGATGATGATCCACATATTTGCACCATCAAGCTTCCACCTACAAGAAGTTTTGAAAGATTACCGCCCGACATCAACAATCAGGGAACAAGAAGCAAGTAAAGATATCTAGGAGGTGTTTAGAGGGGGATTTCAATCGGAGTTTGGGAAAATTTTGAAAAAAAAATTTTTTTGCTTCAAATTGATTTTTTTATATATTTTTAAATGGTTTTAATATGTTAATGTCAAAAATAAATTATATATATATATATAATATTTTAATGTATTTCTATATAAAAAAACAACGCATAACACTATCTCATTCACCACCTCATTAGTTAGATAAGAAAGCCAACGTACTCATCCCAGTTCAAGTTATTAGGATGCCATCAGCTAGGTAATAATGATATCCACATTTTGCCATCCCCAAGTTAAACACGTGGCTATTTTCAGTTTCTTGAATCCAGCACAGCATCCGAAGAAAATCTATAATCTAGGGGTTCATTTACTTAATAACCAAATCAATTTTATTTATTTATTTATTTATTTATTTTGTTTCTTAAGCTCACATACCTTTTCGGTTATAGAAATAGTTATATTTACAAAAACATATTCTTTCCATCTAAATGAATTTTCTGGGAGGACAGAAGAATGAGGAAGTGATACATGAATGCAGCCATGAAGCTAAAATGGCAGAGGAGAGGAGAGTGGCTGTTTAATCCAAAAAGGGTAAGAAATGGTTAGTCCGTGCAAAAATAAAATTGAGAAGAGCATAACCTTGTTAATCTAAGTATCAAGAAATCAAATGAAAGAATAGTATGCATTCTAAATTAAAGAGGAAAACTGATTGGCTGACTTTATGTTCTAAGCATATCCTGAGCCACTCTGAAGTATGGCAGTCAAAAAATAGAAAGTAACAGCGAACAAGAGCCAGAGGGTGGAAGATTTTACCGAGTACAAAAGCAGCCCCAATCCAACCAGTGGCACCCCACCTTTCACCGAGAAGAAACCATGCAAATCCCGCACCCCAGACTGGCTCCAAACCATAAATTATTGCAGTTTCTGTTGCTGAAACATCACGCATAGCAGCCATCTGTGTGGTTAAGAAATAGAGCAAATTATGATCACATTTACTTTTATCTGACGGGAAAAAACTTAAAAGGCACAATTTTCTAAATCCGAATGAAACCATGTTGTTTGAACTGAACAATGGTGTTTCAGTCCAGAGGCAGGAGTCATCCTGATCCCACAAATCATCATGCCATGTTAGGGTCACTGAGAATTGGGAGATTTCAGTTCCTTTCCCAAACAGATTCTCATTTACTTTTAATTGTAATCGAATCCACACAATAATGGTTTTGATGATACCATATAAAATTTGTCTCGCTTGTAAAATATTGTAGTTTTTTTATGCATTTGTAATTTTTGTTATCATGAATGCCCAAATCCCAAATGAACCAACTGCAGTCGTGGAGATTTTTATGTATACCTGCCACAGACAAAGTCCCCAAGAAACACAACACATATAAAAGAACAATCCAAGGTGCTTGTAATCATAAACATTACAAACATGAATTTTCCATGGTAAGGAAAAAAACAAAGAATCTTTCATCACGAGTCCTCTTTCAACTATTGGCATCAAAAGATCTATAAATCACATTAGCAACACAAACTATACAGGACTATATGGAAAAACTATCAAACATAGAGAATGATGGATCACAATTAGTAAAGCACATTCAGAAAGAAACAGCTGCACTTGCAAGGGAAGTAACAAAGAGGAATTTCCAGGAAACATGCTGGGAAGGCCAAGTGGAGAGGTACAATTGAGGGCTCAGTGATTTACTTGGTACAAAATTTAAGAGAATTAAGTGTGAAAAGCCATTATGTTTAAGTCCTGGATGGGCTTTCCCTTTTCTTTTCCTTCTTTCAAGTTGGTTGAAATGCAGAAATACAGCAGCATGACAAACAAGAACGAGGAAGGAAAAAGAAAACAAAGAGAACTTATTTTGAAATTTTGCAGTTTTCTTTGGAATGTAGGCAAATTAAGGAGAGAACCAAATAATTCATCGTACCTCTATCCATAAGCATAGCCCTGTTGAGAATATGCCGGTGTAAAGTACAGGTATCCATGGGAAAACAGCCAACCAATGCCAAACCATTTCCCATGTCCATGATGATGGATCACAAGTTTGGACATCACCAAACCAGCTTCCAAGGACATACCATATTGTTGAGGAGATAGCAATAACACATACCTAAATGAAGAATCTGTTTTTCAAACCATGCAAGAAGATAACCAGACTACATTTCTGTGTTGTGTGGACAATTGGGCAGTACACGCACCTCAAATCCAAGAAGAGGTAAGAAGTTCTTTTTATCTGTGCTTCTTGATATATGTTCTGTCCTAAGCATATGCACACCAAAAAACACTGCGCTTAAGAAGTTCAAGAGATCACCAATCTGGCAATGTGCAAATACAAATCCATTATAAAAGGTTAAAATCAAGCTTCCTTTTATTCAACCCAGATGAAGAAAAATTAACATACAAAGAATGCTTGGTCTTCCACTTTGATCATCATCAAGGAAATGCAACAAACATGAAAACAATGAAACAACCATCAAGTAGAAAGCCTACACTGGGAGGAGATCCACTGGATTCCAGCATTGCAACCCCTACAATGGACATGAGAGCTCCAAACCAGGTCTGTGCAGGAACTATTGCTCCTAGCATACCATCAAGCAAAGGAACTACAATTACCTGATAAAGTCATACAAAAATGCGCCCAATTTTGTACCTTTAAGTACAATTACCAACACACGGGAAAAAAAAAACCTTTAAGTACAATTACCAACACACGGGGGGGAAAAAAAAACTTTGATTGACATACAACCTAGAGGCTGATAAAGAAACTTACAGTGAACATGGATATAAATGATGCACGACCAGCATCTGATGTGAGCAGACCAAGTGCCTGCGTTAGGTACCCTAGACTAACCCAAAACCCTAACTCTATCCCGGCATTACGGATTCGAGCATCATCCCATGATTGCAAAGCAAATGGCAAGAATGGTATGGCAGCGACAACAAATCTCACAACAGTGAAAGTTGCTGGATCCATTACTGCTTCAATTTCTTTCACAACTGGAATATTACTCGCTGCATATAAAAAAAATACAAAAGGTAATATGGAAAATATATAAGGACATATATAAAATTTCAAATGGATGATGGAATCTCTATAATTGCAAGCTTAAATCTAAAATCAAGAACGTAAAATTAATAACAAATCAAGCCCCAATCACAAACTAGCATATTTCTGCGCTATCTATCATATGCTAAATCAGCCTTAATATCTAGATAATTTAAAAGAACCAGCATTGATTACAATGAATGCCTCCTATTGATCGTATATTAATTCCAATTCGCCACAACAGCAGCAGCAGCAGCGATGTTATAAAAATAAAAAATAAAGAAGGTAACGTACCATAGACAACGGTGATGACATTGAGTAAAATGATGGACCTGACTTTCCTGGACGCGAAAAGTATCCTCCGCCACAAATATTTCTTCCCAAACAATGTCTTAAAATTTAAGCTTTGTCTCTTCTTCTGATTCGAAGCAGAGCAGACTATCGCATTCTTTGATTTCTGTATTTTAACACCTGAAATAGGTCTGCGACGAGAAGAAATAGGAGAGGATAAGAAATTGCTGTTGTGCAAAGAGCAGGTGGTGAGACGATGTCGTTTAGAAGGAGATAAATGAAATGTGAACAAAATTGAAGGAGAGAGCTTCGTGGTAACAGATGCAGAGTAGGCAGGAGCTCTTAATGGACATTTACAAGCCATCGACCTTCTCTCCCTCTCTCTCTAGTATCTTCGATTCCTCCTCTTTTTGTCCTATCTCTTTCTTTCTTTCTTCTCTCTAGTATCTTCGATTCCTCCTCTTGTATCTTCGATTCCTCCTCTTGTATCTTCTTGTCCTATCTCTTTCTTTCTTTTTTTCTTTGTATGTCTGTCTTCACTCTTTTCACCAAGTAACTTCTTTTTCCTTCTATTTTATCAAATAGACCAAACTCCTTGGAGAACAAATCTTAGAACACAACAGAACAGTCTCAATCACTAAGAAAAGAAATGGGCGATCATCTAATCAACCAGGATTCAGCACGTTTCAAGATTTTCTCGTCAATGACTGAAATGCCACTGAGTAGCGCCTGTGTTTGTTTTTCATTAGTTGTTTCATGTGTTTTTGTTAGCGGACTGCTGCGGAGAAATATGGAAGTAGAGAGACGGGGCCAAAAAGCATCTTCTGCCCAAGGGCATCTCCAGCGTTACAGAGAAAAAATTCAAAATTAAAAAAATCCATTTTTAATTTTTTTTAATATATATATATATAATATTTAAATATCAAGTATATTTAAATATAGATAAATTGTTAAAAAAACTTTTTTAAAAAAATATATAAAAATTATATTAACAGTTTAATTCTCCTAAATAAGGTTTGCCATTAAAAATGGTCTGTGATGCTGTTTGCTTGTGGCCCTGTCGTAAAAAAACACGTGTTGCATTTTACAGCGTCTACCAGGAATCGGTGGCGGGTAGACCGTGATGTTGCGGCTAAGAGATTGGTCTCTGATTTTTATAGAAGAAAAGAGAGAGAGAGAGAGAGAAAATGGAGGTTGGTACGGATTTTTAAAGAATAAATGATAACAAATAAAAAGAAATTGTGACTTTTGCAATGGAAGAGATTGGAATTAGATGTGGGCTGGATTTCTTATTGGGCTCGGTGATCCAGATTGGTTTTCCACTCTGGCTTATAGCCTTAACTCCTTTCGTTGACTTGTACTAGACCCGTATATGTCGGGCCTCTCATAACGGGGGTTTGGATTCTCCCCGCTAATTATGCAGCCAGTTGAAAGATATTTATTCATAACGAGTCCATATGCAACCCCACTTGTGATTGCGGCCTCCAACTGATCAACGGTGATAATGATGGTGATGGACGGTAAAAGACGATGACAAAGATGATCATAATAGCACTTGGCCACGGCAGTATAATTGGCCACGCCTCGGGTGCAGAGAATCCAACCAAAGATTTGTCTCCTCCGGCTCGCATCACGTGCATGATTTGCTCCAACTTCTTAGATCAAGAGAGTGGGATGGGCAAGCAAGAAGGATAGCCTGCGAGAAAGACACGTGATTTTGATTTTTGAAATTAAGTCACGTCAATTTTAATTAAATTTGATTTCAAGATCCGATTTTTCGTCCTCAGCTTGTTTTCTATTTTTTAATATATTGAATCAATCGAGAATTGGCATCGATGCACTGTCTACATTTTGTAGGCCATTAAAATCGAAAATTATGGGATGAAAAGGCATTTATCCCCTTATCAGAAGTAATATGGACTAACGAAAGGGATTAACGTAAGATTATCGAAACGTTTGAGAATTAATTGATCAACTGATGATTTTGAGATGCAAAAATCCAACCTCTGTCATCCTACACACATTACGTTATACATTGTAACAGTATAATGATAGTTTTGGTCTTTTCATCAAAACTTACAGAGATTGTAATTGAAGGTAAACTCGTCTTTTTAAAAGGATCTATTAGGCATTCCAAGATTTATTTAGGAATAAATTGGTCAATACAATTTATTTAGCACATTTAAATTACTTGTTGCCTTTATAAGTATTCACATAGTATCTTGTACCCTTGAAAGAGAGAGAGAAATATAAAGACTTGCACAGATAGTTTTCTTTATCTTTTCATGATTGCCCTTTAATTTGAGAAAAAAAATGTTGCATTCAGGGGCATTTTAATCCTTTTCTTCTATTTTTTATTTTATTTTCAAGTTTAGTTAGGAATCCTTTTAAAATTTCAATAGATTAAATAACATTAAAAAAAATAAGTGGGTAATGCAAGGGTTAGCACATGACGACCCCATGTTATTCTAGCAGCGTATGCAAAGATCATCTTGTTACCAAGTTTTTGCTTTCTAGAGAGGCATTAGATGCGGTGTGTTGTGTATTTTTTCTGACAATGTGATACATGCTTGAGGTGCGAGTGTGGTTGACTTATGATAGATCTTTCTCTTCTTTTTTTTCATTTTTGTTCTGGAAATTAATGCCAATCCTTTTAAAAATATAATTATATCTTTTAGTCTGTATTTTTATTAATTTTTATTTTTATTTTTCTGATTACTATTTATTTTACTTCATAAAGTTTTTGAGTTTTAGATTTTTTTTAAAATTTTATCTTCAAAAACTTTATTTAATTTTTTTTATATTTAATTTAGTCCTTATTATATCGATTGCTTTTTTTCTCAGTTTTTATTTTTTTATTGATTTATTTATTTTTCAGTTTTCATCCCTAATTTTTTTATTGTATTTATTTTTTATTCAATTTTAGTCCTTTCTTTGTTGTGATTTTCTAATCCCTTTTTTATATATCTTTCTTTCAGTTTTGTTCCTCGGTATCTTATTTTATTTAACCTTTTTAATCTATTTTGGCTTCTTATTTTTTTAATTATTTTTTTATAATTTTTGTAATTTTTTTATTTTTCAATCTAGTCTAATTTATTTTTTTATAATTTTTGTAATTTTTTATTTTTCAATTTAGTCTAATTATTTTATTTTATTTATTTTTATATTAGTTTTTGTTCGCATAGTTTGGATTTTAAATTATTTTGTGATTAAAGATTTTACTTTGTTGTTTTTTAATGTCTGTCTTCCTATAGAGTAATTCCAATCTTATGACTCGGGTTTGGTTTAAAATAATTTTTTTATTCTTTTTATTAAGAATTGATTTTTAAAAAAAAATATCATTTGACCTCTTTATTGCTAGGTCTTGAACTTCGTTATTTGTTTCACTTTTTTTTAGTTGGTTTCTCTCAATCTCATATCCTGCATGATGGATTAGTCGAGTTAATTCGGATTGACTTAGGTTTTTTTTTCTTAATGTTTTATTTCTTGAATAGATTTTATTTTATTTCTTGCAATTTTATTATTGAAATTAAATTATTGGCCCTTAATATATGTGATTCTTTCACTTTTTTTTTATGTAGGGTTATCCTGAGTGTCGGTTAGTCAAGTTAACTCGGATTAACTTGTTTTTTTTTTAAAAAAATTATCTAACTTCAGTCTTTCGGATTAACTTGTTTTTTTTTTAAAAAAAAATTATCTAACTTCAGTCTTTGTTGCTAGGCTATTCTTTTAAAAGTCTTTTATTTTTATTTTAATATAATATCATGGGTGGTGAGTTTACCGAGTTAACTTAAGTTGACTCAATTATTTTTCTTGATCTTTTTTTATGAAAATAATTTTCTTTTAATTTCATCACTTAACATTAAATTATTAACTTTTGAGCCTTGTTATTTTTTTTGCTTTTTTTTTTGTGAGGTTATTTCAAATGCGAGCTAGTCACGTTAATCTAGATTAGTTTAGTTTTTTTTTTCATTGTTTTCTGTATTAAACTTTGATCTTTCTTGATAGGTCCCTGCTTTGATAGGTCCCTGTCCTGAGAGTTTATTTTATTTTTTATCTTGATCTCGTACTGCAGGTGCTTGACTAATCAAGTTAAATTAGGTTGACTTGTTTTTTTTTTCTTCAACACTATTTTTATAAAAAAAATTTATTTTATCATTTGATATTGAGCTATTAGGTTTTTAGCTTTGCAAATTTTTTTACTCGATTTCATATGAGGGGTTGTGTGCTAGTAAAGTTAACCCGGGTTATCTTAGATTATCATTAGCTAGATATTTTTTATGTTATAAAAAAATTAACTCAATCTAGCAGTATTCATTACTTTGCTTGCTACTCGCTAGGCATCTATCTACACACTTTTGAATTAAGTGTGTCGCACTTGCATGTATATATTCAACTAGGCAGGGGCCATGATATGTTGTGGGTAACTCAAAAAAATTTTAATGTAAAAAAAATTGCTAAGATGATACAAGTATTCGAAGAGAAAAAAAAAAGATTGAAGTTATTGACTCAATCAGGTTAATAAGGTTGATTAATTTAAATAATATAAATAAAAAATACAACAATAATAAATAAATTGACAAAAAAAGTTAACAATATAAAAAAATAGAAAAAAACCCACATCAAGTTCATGTGAGTTAGCATGTCAAATATATAACTTAGTTTTGATATCAAGGTAACCCCAACAAGAAACTAAATAAAATTGTAAAGTTTAATTATTAAATAATTCAATATTTAAGGGTAACACTAAAAAAAATTAATTAAAATTTTTTATGCCAGCACAAATTAACCAACTTGCTAGCTCCGAGATTATGGGCACAAGATCATAAAAAAAGTTAAAAAAATATCAATTTTAAAAAATAAAATATTGAACAATGAAATTAAAAAACAAAGTCAGTACATGTTTAACTTTTAAAACCCATAACTCCAATTATAAGCTTATAACTAACTTTATAGAAGGTAAATCTAAAACTAATAAATTAAAATTTTAAAATATTAAGGGATAAAATTAAAAAAATACAATAAAAAACTCCACAAGAAAAGAAATAACAATAAAAAAATATAAACTATATTTAATAAAAAATAATTTGAAATCAAATGCCGGTGAATAAAATTGAAAATTAAAAAAATGATATAAAAAAATAAATAATAAGCAAAAGAATATAAATTAATTTTGCTATATAAAAAAGATAAAAAATTTTTAAAGGTAAGCCATGACCCGGCGTGACCTGGTTGACCCGACGGGTGGGATGACCCGGCAAAACCCGGTCAAAAACCCGGTGGTAACCCGTTGACTTTTATTTATTTTT